GTGCGTTGGCAGAGCACATGCATGTGGACGCCCTTCGCACTTTAGGGTACACTTCTCCCAACAAAGGCTCCGCCAGAAGCAAAGGAAGTTTCCCGAAAGTTCGCCTGAACGCAGTGCAAACTGTTCGCGCCAAACAGCAGATTTCCTTTCGTGAGCGCAGTCTTCGTAAACTCTTAGGTCAAGCCTTAGAAGCCAAGCGACAATCGTTAGCGTTGAGGAGGCCGAAGCACTGCTCCGCAAACTGCGCGCCAAAAACGTGCTCTCCATGGTCGGAAAATCCATCTTTAATGGTGTTTCTCTACTGGAAATCGAAATTTCCAAATCAGCCGCAGCAGCATCCAAAGATCGCCTTCATGCTTGGAAATCTTCCATGAAGGAGGATGGTCGCGCAGCAAACCGTTGGGTGCACAAAAGCAGTGCCAATGCTACCCAGACTGTCTTTGATGAAGCTTTGCCCCAACAAGCCCCTGCGACCTGTGTGCAGGACACGTTATCCATCTTGAGAATTTTTGGGAGAGAATTTGGTTCCGTCTGTGTCACGCTCTCACGGCAGGCATACCGTGGTGGCGCCACCGTGCGCCAACCACAACTCCTCTCCAATGGACCTCACTTCAGCCTGAGGAATTGCAGACCCAAGCTCACCTCATGGATGGTTCGTCCGCCGGCATCGATGGTTGGTCAGGATCCAAGATCGTGGACTGGCCCCTGGAGACCTGGACCGTGTTCTGTGATCTTGCTCATGCCTGGATACTAAAGGGTCTCGTCCCGACAAGCTGGAAACAGATTCGACAAGTTTTCCTGGTAAAAGAAGGTGCGGAAACCAGACCAGATGGTTCAGTTTCCTGTGCTGGCGCTCGGCCCATCGCAGTGCAATGCATTCTTTGGAGAGTCATTGCCTCGACATGGGTTCGCCGTGTGACCGCTCGTGAATGGTTGTCCCGGTGGATCCCTCCAACGAGTTGTGGAGCGGTCCCTAACCGTGGGGTGCACCAAGCTGTCCAGTCCCTTGATGCAGCCTTTCAGGACCATGCCGTGCTGATCAGTCTCGACTATAGTAAATGCGCTTTGATTTTCTTCGCCCTGAACTTGCCTCAGAGGCTCTCCTCTCACTCGGGGCACCCAGACCCCTGGTGGAGGTGTGTCGGCAAGTGTGGACGCAAGAAAGATTTCTGTGTTTCGGTCAACAATGCCAAAGCCAACCAGCACTGGTGAACACATCACTGCCTCAGGGAGATGCGCTTAGCCCCTTATGTCTCCTCGCTGTTTTGGCAGGTCTGACGCAAGCAGTGGAAGCTGACCTGCAATCTAAACGCAAAGACACCTCCAATTTCGTGTTGGCCACTTACCTGGATGATCGCAACGTTGTCGTTCCTAGTCCCAGAGTTGCCCAAGCTGTGGTCCAAGCCTGGCAGAGCTGCTCCGCCCAGATTGGGTTTCAAGAAAGTAAAATCTTGATAAGCTTAAGGTTTGCCCAAAGAAACCAGGTGATGCTGCCGTGCTCAAGCAGGCGGGATTCCTTGATCACCAAATCGTGACTTCCACTAGAGTGTTGAGAGTGGACTTTGTTTCTGATCGCCGCAGTGCAACTCGTCCAACTGCCGCCAAACGTGTCCAAGAGGCCGTTGTTCGAGCGCATCGAATTGCATGTTTGCCAGTAAACAGTCACTGCCGAGGCCGCAAGCTTTCCCAGGGATTCGCTCCCACAAACTTGTTTACAGGATCCTTGAGGGAGACACCCAGTCCTTTCAAACTCTGATCGTGCAAATCGGTGAGTGGTCGGTAATCAACTATGCGCCCCCCCCCCACGTCCTGATCCGGTACACAACCTGGCCGCGGAAAAACATATTGACAATTTTCAGGCTTGCCGCATCGGTGCAGAAAATAGACCATTCCTTTGGGCAGGTGATTTCAACCACCCCCTCGCTCAGGGGCCTTTCTCAACCTCTGCCAAGATCCATGGAGCACTGCCTGCCCAGGGACTGGCTGGCTACCCAACACGTTGGCAGGGATCTCAAACAATCGACCACATTTCTACCAATCAGGTGAGTTTGACTAGCCCCGTCTGCTTTGCCCATTACCGCGTCAGCGATCACAAACCCTTCTGCGCCACTTTGAAGCAGACATGGTTTGAGGATACCTGTCGGTGGACCATCCCCAAGCCAACCGTCTTTGAGATACCTCCCGGCATGTCAAGGGACCAGTGGACGTGTGCTCTCCGTGATCAGTGGTCTAAACTTTTCCAGGCTCAGTTCCTTCACAAACTCCCCAATACAATCGATGTTGATAAGGCGCAATGGAACAAAGCGCTCGTGGGACTCTTTCTTGCATCTAATCCCAAGGCAGACCCTCAAACAAAAGGCACAGAAGTATGCCCCAAACGTGTGGCCAAGCGCAATTGGCTCAATCTTGGAGACATGGCAAGTCGGAAACGGTTAAACTATCGTGCCCGAGTCGAAACCTTTCTGAAGAAAATTGCAACCCGCCCAAACTTTGACATTTCTCCTGAGTTTCATAAATTTGCGAAAAATTTGGTACCAGTCATACGGGCACGATTCGCTGAAACGTGGAATTTCACCAATCAACCGAAAAGGGGACTAGTTGAAAAAGACCCGATTGGATTCTTCGCAAAATCGCATGAAAAGTAACCTCTCCGCTCGGATCCAGTGGGCTAAAAAGCACGGAGAACACATGTATGCCGACTGTGCTAAAGGATGGCGTTGCCTGCTTTCGACATAGCGACGTCGCTAGCGCTATCAAAGATGTTTGGAGGAACGTTTGGAACTCAGCTAGGGCGGTTAGCCCCCTTGATCAACATCGAAAAGGAGATGGCTCGACCTTTGATGATCGCCATCACGGGCGCAAAGTCCCTCGAGAGCACGATCACAAAAGACGCCGGTCAGCCGACTGACAAAGGAGTGAAGATTTTGGTCGCCCAGATCAAGGAGACCCTCAGTTACACAAACTATGATGACCAAAATGAGCAGGCCGCGAGAGAGAACCAATCCTGCAGGCTATGTCAACAAGCCTGTGGCGACTGCGGCCCAGCGAAGAAGCTTTGCCAGAAGCTGGGCCCCACCGACGCAAGACCGAAAAACGGTCCAAGGCTGGTGCTCCCTCAAAAGCTAAGGAGGGGTCTGAAAGTTTTCAGAACGAACAGCGTGGCAATCAAGCATACTAGCTTTGGAGGAAAGCACCATGTCACTTGCAACTGTTTTCCACTCTGCATTACCTGCAGATCGCTCTTGGCCCAAAAGTCCTTTGCTGCTACCTCGGACCGTCGCGCCGCCTTCGGTACTTTGACGACTGTTCAAAAAATTTGTTTTTGACTTTTTCGAGCGGTTGACTTTTTTGACATGTTTTCAATCTTTTATTTGACTTTCTTTTTTGTTTTTTACATTTTTGACATTTTCGTGCAGCGGTCTACTTTTGATGTTATTTTTTACGTTCTTTTTTCTACTTATCTTTGACTTTTCAATTTGATTTTTTGACTTTGACTTTTCCATTTGACTTTTTCCATTTTTTGATTTTTTCGATATTTTTTAATCAAGGATTCTGGCCTTACCATATTTTGTAATTCTAGACTATTGTCCGGAATCCTCTTTTGGTCTCCCAGGTCCCAAGAGGGTCAGTTCTGCACATGTGATTGGCTACGTTTTCATCATTCGAGGAAAGTCGGAGAGTCATTGAATTTTTGGCACCCTTTAAGTCTCCACCTGTTTTCAAGAAAAGAGGCTTTGAGACGTCGCAGTTTCTCATGGTTTCTCAGTCGGATGGAACGTGTTTGCTGGTGGAAGGTATACTATCCGGTTTCTTTTACGGCCTTGCTACACTTAAATCACATGTCTTGCATCCAGCTGGAATGATCTACTCAACCTCAAGCATATGATCCAGGCTTGCAGATTGAAGGCTTTTGAAGGTTTGGATCTTTAAACTATACCCTACCGTCTGTCCCATTGTATATGTGTATATATATATATTTAATAGAGATGGGAGATCCCTTTTTGCATCACATTCGTTTTTGCATCAGATTAGTTCAGCTCCCAAGAAGACTGCCCAAAGCTTGCCACAAAACCTCTCTGGTATCACATCGTTGTTACCAGCAGGTGAAGGTGAATGAAGAGCCTTCCCAGGAGGGAAGACTTCCGAACTCACTTTGGAAGTGCTCCGAACTTCTGGGTGTCCCGTTGTTACCAAGGCCCTTTCCAGCTTCCCACATCCCAGAATTGTCTCATTTTGGCCCTGTTCAGATTGATTGCAGATTCATAGCCTTGCTCACTTGGCTTGGCCCTGCTCAATTTCAACGTTTGCATTTGATCTTGTGCCCTTCTGCCATGGGTTGCCAGTCAGTGGCTAACCTTTGACCTTATCTGAGGAATTGGATTCTGAACTGGTGAATGAAAACACCTCTACGTTGAAAGGAAATTGAAGGGGTCGGGTTGTTTCATAAGTACTAATCTACTTATCCAGTCATCTCACTTCGCCGCTTTTCTTCCCAAGTTCTACTGCTACTACTACTACTACTACCACCGACGACGGCAACGACGACTCCTCCTCCTCCTCCTGCTCCTGCTCCTGCTCCTGCTCCTGCTACTGCTACTACTGCTACTGCTACTGCTACTGCTATCACTACTACCACCGACGACGACGACGACTCCTCCTCCTCCTGCTCCTGCTCCTGCTCCTATACTGCTACTGCTACTACTGCTACTGCTACTGCTACTGCTACTGCTACTACTACTACCTTTTGAAAATCATCTCAATCCAAGTGTGCACACTTTCGGTCCCTAGAAAAACACAATGACCAGAGACGGGGCATGGTTGAAAACTGGACAACCCATTTTTGAATCTCTTTCAAAAGTATAGGATTTCAGAGTTTTAGACTGGTCTTGAACATGTGTCTCACAAAACATTGCCGTTCCAAAGTGAACCGTCTAGCTACCTTTCGTTTGTTGCCTTCGGCGGGGAAAAAGACAGTTTGCCAGCTTTTTCTCACTGGCCAGGAATCAAGCCTTCCTCAATAGCCGCGAGGGTGCAGTGTCCTGCGGGCTGTGTACGCCTGGCCGATCATCTCAAGAAGTTGAAGACGATAAGGGGAAGACCTATCGCTGCGCGGAATGCGAACCTGGAGCCCTGGGCAGCACCAACGGGATGGAAGATGGAGGAGGGGCGCACGATGGTGGAAGGTCAAAACCAACCTTCCCCCCTAACCGCCTGGCAAGTAGGCTGTTCATGGTAAACCGACCTGCTTTGATCCACTTAAGTGCTCTTGGCAACTGATTGAGAAGGTGCAAGAGGAAGTAAGATCTTGCTAAGTAACATCTTGCAGTATGGTGCGCCTTCTTTAGGGTTGCACCATACTGCCACCATGTATTTGCTTGGGGAAAAAAGATGATGTCAGGAACCCTTCCGTTTTTGACGATCGAACGC